GCAGAGCCCTGGAGAGGGCAGGGACGGGCTCTGGGCAGTTCCCTGGGAGGGGGCAGGACTCCCAGGGCCGTTGCCATGGGGACAACTTAGCACCATACTGGCTGGAGAATAAACAGGCAGGTTTCCTGGCCAGTCATTGAGTGGAGGTCCACAGAAAGCCCAGCAGGGGGGGAGGACAGGCTGTCAGGAGGATGGCAGTGTCAGGAAAGGCCTGGTCACTGAGGTGGGGACTACGCAGAGGCCACTAGGAGGATGGGAAGGGATACTGCTGCTCCTCCACAATCTCCTGTCCCGAAGCAGAGCCCTGAGGTGACCTCAGAGCCACTAGCATGGGGCTGGGTCCCCTTGAAGCCACACAGTAGGGTGGAAGGCAGGCGGCCCTGTGGTGCAGGGGCCCGGCCAGCCACATGGCCCTCCAGCTCGGGAGAGCCCTCTGGGTCCCAGGGTGGACAGGGCATGTTCTTGGGGATTACCACCAGCAAACGGGTCCGTGGTCTCTGCGCCCCATCCCTGGCCTTCCAGGACCCCTGCCTGTGGCTGCACACGTCCTCACCGGCCTCAGGGTGGCCCTTGGGCAGGCTCCAGATGTGTGCACAAGGCTGAGGTGGCCTTCTGGGATGACCGCCCGGCATGGACATGCACGCTCTGTGGTGCCCCGGCCGTCAGTCCATCGGCCCACCTCATCTACCATGACTGACGGCAGGGCCATGTCCTATCTCCAGGACTCTGAGGCCTTCCCTACCCTCCTGCCCCTTTGCTGGCCCCTGGATACTGGGATGCTCTGGTCAGAGTGCTGCCGAGGCCAGCCCTATTACACCAGCTCAGAGCTGTCCCCAGGGTAGAGCTGCCGCCCTGTGCGCCCCGGCCAGCGGTCCTCCCTCACCGATGCCCTGTCCTCAGGGTGGGGGCAGGGTGGCGCTGCAGGAGGGCCCAGGGGACCCTGGAGGAGAGCAGGCGTGGGGCCCCTGCCTGGCGAAGCCCATGCAGATCTTACGCAGGCAGCAGCTGAGCCCGTGGGTAAAGGAGGTTCTGGGCCATGCTGCCAGCACCTCCCTCGGGGCAGGCATGTCAAAGTGGCTGCCGGGTCTGGCTGCGTGTTCTCCCTCCTGGTCCCACTGAGAGACTGCAGCTGCTGACATGCTCGTGTTTTAAACGATGAAGGGGTGCACTACCTCAGAGCAGTAAGAGCCTGGAGATGGGTTTTAGGCCTGGCTTGCTGAGGACTCTGTCTCAGGGATTGTTCTCGGTTCTGCATTTTGGACCCATGGCTTCCTCTGCTGGCCCGCCTGGGGGGGGGGGTTGCCTGGGAAGGCAAGAAAGGGAGGTGGCCCTGAGGCGTGCTGGATGGAGCTCTGCCCTGCCTGCTGGGGATCAAAGGCCCCTCCCCTCCCATTGGAGAAGGTCTTTGGGACCTTGGTGGGTGTGCAGGCCCACCCCCGCCAGGCCAGCTGGCTGCCTCAGCCTAAGCCTTCTGTTGGTTCCGGGAACAGAACAGCCCAGAGGAAGGGGGAGAGGAGCTGGAGTGGGGCCCCCAGGAGAGAGCCCCAGAGCCCCAGGACCTCAGCTGGCCTGGTAGGTGGGTGGGTGGGCAGTGCCAGGTGAAGGTGGCTCTCCCAGCGCTGCATGGGTACTCTTGCACAGACAGCTGACACGCGGGACAGGACTTACATCCGCACCCTCCTAGGGGCAGGGCTAGGGTTCTCTGAGGAGCCTGGCAGGAGTCGGCCGAGGTCTCTGTTCCTCTCCAAGACAGGGAGTGCGCTCTGGCCTCAGTGGGAGAGAACCCTTTCCCAGGTTGGGGAGTGAACGAGGGTCCTTCAGAAAGAAGGCAGAGAGGCGGCTTCTGGAAGGCAGTTTCAGGGAGGCCGCCCAGGGGACAGAGCCGGTATCTGCACAGCGCGGCCAGGCCCCCGCCAGCACTGGGGGAGTGTCCAGACTTTGGTCGCGGGCTGCCGGCCGGCTCGCCCTGCCTCTC